CGGCTGCCTGGCCGCCCGCCTTTTGAATTTTTAAAAAAATTCCCATAATGACACCTGCAATTTCGCCCGAAAACAGTTGATTGAATGCGATTGTGTCAGTAAAGGACTCTCGCACCCAAGCTCCCGTGGTTGTAAACATGGACAGCCGCCCGCCTCCCGGGGCTTACTACGCCGGAGAGCCGTAAAGCCATTACCCGGAGCCGACGGAAGGTGGAGAACGCTTTTCCCTTCTTTCTCTCCTCCTGTGTCTTCTAAAAACTGTTTCCTCTACCCTAACAAGGAATACACACACACACACACACACACAACAGCAACAAGCTGGGCGGTTTGATAACATCGCTTTTATCTGCCTTCGCCTCTCTCGCGCTCGCTCGCTCTCTCTGATAATTGACAACTTTTCCTTCGGATTTGAATCGCCTGCCTTAATCTTGAAGCAGTTAGGGTGTCAATTGTTCCCCTGGAAGCCTGGCACCCGACGATGGCATCTGGGTTCACCGAAATTAAACATGTATGGGGCTCCAGCAACTCTTCCCCGGCGGTGGCAGTGACATTTGGTGGTAAATGCCATCTTTGCTTTTTATTGGGTCGTATTACCTCGCTCTGAAAACATTCACGTTGTTAAACCTGGCGTTTAGGCTAATAATTGCAGTGCGTGGTCTTTAAACATGTGCTTTGTGCATGAGTTACTGTATGTATAGTTATGTGCCCGAGACACGACGAATTTGTTTAAATATTGAGCAAAGATTTGTAAACAGATGTAAGGCAATTATGTTTCCAGCGTAGAATATAATTGGAAAATTGGCTGAAACGGTTTGTTTAATTTAGCCTTAAAAAAACAACTTATTTTAAGTTGTATACCCTTTTTGGGGGGACTGCCTTTTGGACAGCATGCATTTTGGAAATTGTTTTTTTTTGTAACCTCTGCTGTAGATAAAAACATTGTTTCTTCTTAATCCTTGTTTGCACTGGATAAATAATTTAGTGTTCAAATTGTAATTAGCTACATTTAATTATAGGTAGCATGGATACTTTTTTTCTTTGAGACTAGTGGAGAAATACAAATTCTTGCCAACTTTTCAAATGTGTTATTTTATTAAATATGTTTCATTATGCAGATAAATCAAAACATGCGATTTTTATCTACAAAGACTGAGTGACACAATATCCTTGCTTTCATTATAGTGAGATCATGTCAGTTTTTCCCCCCAACATTTTTATTAAGACATTTAATCTTAAAATTCAATTATAAGTTGTGATTCTTTCTCTTAGTGCTGTGATGGTTTTCCCTTAATCTTTTGATATATGGGAATAAAACGCACTTTGCTTCCTCTTTTCTCCCTCTCAGTCTATCATTTAGTATCAGTCAGGTTCTGGGACTTTCATAGATTAGCAAATGTATTGATTAAGTGGTATTTAAAATGGTTTTTGTTTGGCATCTGGTGACCACATTGACACTTTAACAGGTAATTAAAATAACCAAGTAGACCAATATTAGTGAAGAGAGATCCTCCAAATTACCATATATCATGCTGACTGGTAATGGCTCGTGTATATGTGATTGATTTATATACAGTAGGTTTTGTAGATGAATGAAAGTATATTACATGTGTAGCCATTCTTTAGGATATGTCACTTTTTTATCTCTCTTTTTTTAAACCTTAAATGAGGATTATAATGTTATAGAGATAAGATGCTTGAGATTCTTTTGGAGAAACAGTTTTGTGGGAGAAGGATTATTTTGCTTTATGACCAACTAAAGGTTTGTGCTTTGGGTATTCCTCTCCTGAACCTCTTTAAACCAGGAATTGATTTTTTTTTTCTTTTTAAAAACAGAATTACTCTTTAGGTAGCAACTTGGAAATGCAGAACTGCAGGACTGCATGGGGTGAATTTTTTGAAAAGACGAAAGTATCTACATTTTCTTGTATGTGGAGTGAATAAGATGCTAATTTAAAAAATACTAGTCTGTTAGAAAGCTGCTGATAAATACAAATTTTTCTTGAAAATTACATACAGCAACAACGTGGAATATAAAAAATGTGTTGCCTAAAGTACATTGTATAGAATAGTTAATTCTAAAAGGATAAAATCATCACCTGGTCAAAATAAAGCATGCATTGTAAGAACTCTATGTACTTATTAATAGCATATATTTTTCTTTTTGGCCTGAAGCTTTTTGAACAAAGTATTGTTTATAGAGAATTTAACTAGACATTCATATTAATGTGAATTGAAATATAAGCTAGAGATTAAAAGTCTGTACCATACTAATCACCCACCCACTTTCTATTTCCTTGAGTTGTTCATTATGGTTTAGCAAACATTGATTTTGCAATCAGGTGCCTTAAGATTTTTGTTAGTCCTTTACTTATTTTGCTTTCTGATTTTTCTACTGCATCAGTTTCTGTGGTATCAAATTTCCTAAATTCTCTGTCAACCCCTGCCCCCCTTTTCTAATGTGAAAATGCCATTGTGTGTACATGATATGGGTCATTGTATGTGTTTCTTATTCCTACTGTTGTGAGATTTGTAGCTACTGCATTAAATACATGCATGGCTGTGCCTTTGTGACTCAAAACTGTTTTCTCATGCTGTCCATCACATTTCTGGGAGACTTGTTATATAGTCACTCAGTTATAATTCAGTTAAGTGTGTTAAATCTGTCTTTTTGGAAAGTGTAGCAATAGTGCACCCTATGATAGTCAAGCCACCCTTGTGGGAAGACACATAATTTCCAGATATAAGTATATCTTTAGTTTTGTTTCTTTAGTTATGTTTCTCTATTGAGATGATATGGAGAAAAGCAATTTTGTGTCCTTTAACTAGATTTAAGTATATACTCTTTGACATGAGGCAGTCTAATTCTTAGGTATGTATATTCTACATTCATGTTTTATTTGCTTAGAATCTCCCTGACTATGGGGTAATTGGGTGATATCAAATTCTTCCTCCTTGAATTGAAACGCACATAAACACATTAGTAATTAATTCCTATCAAGGATCATTAATTCTATATTTTAAGTTGTTGGTGACCTTTTTACTGTTTTCCTTAAGAGATTTATTTTTTTGCAGAAAGAGAACATAGTTGTAAACTTTGAGATGTATTTTTTTGAGTTAGAACCAAATGGGGAGGACTATCAATTGAAAATGAGGAAAAGGGAATGATTTCTCTAATCTTCTCAAGTGCCAAAATATAAACACAGGGTATTTTTTTCATCCCAATTTCCTATTTTAGTATTTACATTTAAAGCATCTTTTCTCCCCCCATGATGGTTCATTTTCTTTAATGAAAATGTTTATAACTTGCTAATGTGTGTTTTCTGCTTAGCCTTTTGTTGTTAGTAGCACATGGTGTTACAGTATTTATATATTTTTAATAGCAATAATTGCCACACAGTAATAATAGTTGCCATATAACCTCCAATTGCTAGTAAATATTTTTAAGTACATAATAGACAGCAATTTAAGGCATAGTGTAGCAGTTTACTGGACCGTTTTAAAGAGCCATTTGTACGTGTGATGGGTTCATAATTTTAAGAGAAAATAATGTACTCAAGATTTCTATGCTATATGATATGTTGCTGTGTTATTGCTTGAAGTGCTCATTGAGAGGAAGTTAGGTTGGGTCTGTTCTTTGTGAGAATAAAGGTGGTGGTGGGGGGTGCCTTTAGGACAATTAGTGTTTATTGAGTTTTTGCCAGGTGCTTAGATAACTTAGCATTTTCTTTGGATTGTTTTGGTCATATTTTTTATGATTGTATTAATATTTATTAGGAAAAAAAAATCTCTTCAGGCATTCCTTTGAGTAACATTAAGGTATAGTGTGGATTATATTAATTACTTATGGAAAAATTGATTCATCTTTTTTGTTCACTGGCTAATTTAGCCTCCTTAATTGTGAGTTAATGGTATTCCTCAAACATTTTCAGAGATCTCTATTCTTGAGATTAGTAAAAAGATACACTGTCACTAGTTTGTACTATATGCTATAAATTATGATAACTATTTGCAGAAGATAAGTACATTCTATAGTTCTATTTGTCAAGTTATTTAAAATTAAGATGAAACTCAATGTAAATAGTAATAAGGTTATTGATTTGGATTTTTGTTTCAGGAACAGTTAATTCAACTGTCCAAGTTTGATTCAAAGATAGACTGGATATTTTTTTCAAATGATTTGAGTTATTTTTGAAAGAAGACAATAGCAATGTTCTCCTTCTTTAAACTAGTAATAGAAGGTGCGCTTTTTTTCTTCCTTAAAGTGGATGATACATTTTTTTTTCACAGATGCTAGCCAGTGAGGGAGATTAGACAAAGTTTATGAGAAATAGTAATATAGTTGAATATTAGGTTTTTTAATTACTGAACTGTGCATTGCAACCATTTGTTAGAAGTGGAGAACAATGATTTCTGCAACATGCTATTAGTGTCATTTGTTTAAAATGCACTGTGTGCCAATCTGCTTTCCAAACTATGTGTTGTGTAGTGTTAGCTACCAGAATTTCAATGTTGTCATTTTACTTTACTATTTTGAGAAATTACATTTAATGCATTGCAAAGTGAGTTAACTGGGTAGTCTCAAAATGTGCTGTGGGGAATAGTTTAAAAAAGAATTCACACACATGCATTGCTTCATAGAACTTGCTTAGAGTTTTGAAATTAAAGAATCAATATTTGTAATGTGTTCTTGGAATTTAGGGCTTTTTTTTTTTTACTCTCTTGAATCATTTAACTTCTTTCTAATCCTGTTCAGATATTTCCTTTTATAGTATGTCCTTTCATTGTTTATTCAAAAGATTTGAAGGTGTCAGCTTTGTTCTGTTGGGGGAATTCACTTCATAACCTAGGGGAGATGATTTTCCATTAATCTTGGTAAATATTAACATAAATGAGGAATTGTAAATTCAACTCATTTGCATGAATAAAATATGTATGCTTGCCCAATTTTTGTTTAGTATAAAGTCACTGTACATCAGCATAGTTTTCTATATTTGCATTAGTTGATATAAACATAGCTTTAACTTCTGTAAAAATGTGATTGGTGTTTATTTCAGAGATAATTCTACTCCACTATATTGTTTTGTTATTTGATTTTTTAAAATCATCTGTAGTATGGAATAGATTCTATCCTCATAAATTGGCTATAGTAGTCTTCTCTTATAGGAACTCCTGGTTTACTCGCATTTATGTTAGCATGTTTTAGTTATTTTTGTTCGAGTAAAGTTATTTTCCTTTTTTTAAGCTAATAATATAACTTTCAGAGTACATTTAGGTTTCAGTCTGAAAAAAGGAGAAAGATGACTTTTTTCCTCTCCTTTCTGGATGAGATTTAGGAGAATCAGTTGTGTTCAAAGGAAAATGTTTTGCCATTGGCATTTCCACACTCTGGTTTATTATGTGTATTTATGAATGTTTATTTTCTCATTCTAGGTGAATGGTGGTAGAATCTTATTAAAACTGTATTTCTACTACTGTGAAACAGCACAGAGCCCTGGTTGACAGCTCTCTACATTTTGTACTTTTTCTAGTACAGCGAAATTCCATTATTGTTAACGGAACCTCTTGAGTTGATTATATTGAAATTTCATTTGTGTCTTTATTTTGCATAGTTTAACTTTGCAGTGGTAACTTAAAAATGAAAAGGGAGAGATAAAGAAAATTAGGTATATTTGCAGGTAAATAGCTTTTTCTCAATCTTTTCTAGACCTTTTTACTATAATAAGTCTTAATTTGTATTAAATTATTGCATTAATTGGTTACATTTAAGACTTTTTTTTTTAAATCCTTACCAGAAGACACTTTTCCATTGATTTTCACATCCACTGGTTGCCTCCTGCACCCTCCTCGACCAGGGCCAGGCCTGTAACTGAGGTACATGCCCTTGACCAGTACATGCTCTGTCCACTGAGCAAAACCGGCCAGGGCCATTTGATATTAAAATTAAATTTGAGGTAATAATTTGTTTAAAATAAAATATAATTAATTGTGAACAGGAATTTTATAATGTTGAGTGGAAATTTCAAAGACTGATCATCTAAAAGGGTGTGACCTTTTTTTTTTTTTCCCCAAAGAGCATTGATAAATTCCCGAGGAAGTATTTTTTACATAAGACACATGAAGCTTCCTCACATAGTGTCACATTATTTCATTTCATTAAATAGCAAAGGTGATTAAATCCATCTGGGCTTAATTTGAGAGCTAATAAGTAAAGTATTCAAAAGAGTATAATTGGTGTGTAAAAACATTTTGTGTTGGCAATTCTCATGATTGCATTTTAATGTCCTAGAGAGAGATAAGGGAAACCTACATTATCTAATGTATCTAACTCAGGAACCACCTCATAGTTTTTGTTTTTTAATATGTGTATATGCCTGGCACAATCCTGCTCATCTTAAAAGTAGGTCAAATATCACTTCCTCCGAGAAGCTTTTCCTGACTCCCACAGGTAGAACTAGTCACTCTTGCTCCTTATGTGTATCTCCTTCTATATGCCTCTGATAAGTAGATGAGCTTCTGTAGGGCATTGACCCTGTCTAAATCATCTTTGCATTCTCTTCATAGTTAGGTGCTCATTAACTGTTTGTTAAATTAATTAATTGCTGGACAACTATTTTTTTTTTTCATTTTACTCCCTAAGGGAGTTTTCATTGCCCATTTAGGTCCTGATCATAATTATTTTTCTTTGAACTTATTTAGATGTTTAGCTCTGTTCTGAATATCTAGGACTTATGTACTGTGGCTTGGTAATATTTTAGATGAGTTCTAGAAAATCTTTATTAAAGAGAATCCAGCTGATCAAGAGATGAGGCATGCTTATCATACCTCAATGAAATAGAAATTCAGTTAGTATTTAGATTTTCTATATGTTAGGCAACCTATAGATATTGGAGCCTGTTGGAGATTTTGTT